ACCATGTCAGGAGTTTAAGATCCCCCCCACCCTGAGCCCCCCCAGCGGGTGGGTTGTGGTAGGACAGTCCCTGTCAGGAGTTTAAGATCCCCCCCCCCATGGCACTTTGGCTCTTCACTCAGAGAGGGGTAGGCAGCAAGGGGGATCCCACCAGCCCCAGCAGAGAGGTAGAGGAATTGCCTGAAATGCCCCTCGGCTGGGGCGATGGAAGAGCTGCCGGGGATTCCAGTCTGGAGGGAACCCGGGCTCTCTCGGGGAGCGGGGGCAGCCCTGTGTGGCGGTGGGACACCCGCCCCCCCACGAGGCGGCTCCGGTTCCCAGCAGCCTTGAGCCACTCACTTGGCACCCACAGGGGCATTTTTATCTGCACCAAAACAAACACAAGCCCCCGGCTCCCGCTGCTGCCCTGGGGCTTTGTCCTCTGCTCCCAGGCGAAGGGCCGAGGCTGCGGGTCCCTGTGGGGGGCCAGCAAGGGCAGCAGGTGCCCGCGCCCAGCCGGGGAAGGGGAGTGGCCGGCCTGGCCGAGGTCCACGCCCGCTTGGAACCCGCCACGTCGCCAGCGTGTGGCTGGGTCTTCGCCGAGCCAGGCCAGCCCCAGGTCTGCGCCCCGTCAGGTCCGTGGCATGTAACGCATGTGCTGATAGCCCCGGCACTGCCACGCTGGGTCCCTCGCCGGCCACAAGCCCCCACCTTTCCCCCAGGCCTCAGCTCCGCCAGTCTCGCTTAGTGCCGCGCTCAGGGGCGGCGGGTCCCTCTCCGCGCCCCCGGCCAGGCTCTCGCTGTCACTCGCGACGCCCTCGTCCAGGGCCAGCTTCACAGTCTGAAAGCGAACAAGCTGCTCCTCCAGGGGGAAGCCGTCGGCGGCCTCGCTGACTCCCCTCGCGACACATACGCTGGGGTCAGGGTGCAGGTGCCGCTGAGGGTCGGTCTTACGGGGACCTCTCCTCGGCACACCCCACTCCTCGGCGGGAGACCCCCCCTTCAGTCCCTCCGCCAACACAGACACCTGCAGGAAGGGGTCTTCTTGGCCCGTGTCTGCCTCCCAGCCTTGCCTCTCCCCTCCACAAGTAACCGGACATGGGGCTTCCGAGAGAGAGAATTCCCCCACGGAGGAGCTCTCGGAAAAGGAGGAGGATTTCTCGCTGTCTGGGAAGCCAGAGGCGTCCTCCTCGGCCGGTCCCCCTCTCCAAACAAGCCGAGAGAACCCTAACCCGGCTAGGTCCGGCACAGGCCCTCCCGCGAGGTGGGAGCCGCTCAGTTCTGAGCCTGAGTGGGACCCTTCCTGACTCATGCTGGCTCCGGAGCAGTTGGGGGCTCTCCTCAGGAATAAAGGCATTTCAGTGTAGGGTCTACCGCCGCTGTCGTCGTCCTCTTCCTCCGAAAGTGAGAGGAGAGACGCTGTCAGGGACGTGTCGTTCCTCGCCACCGGGGACGTGTCGTTCCTCGCCACCGGGGACGCGTCGTTCCTCGCCACCGGGGACGCGTTGTTCCTCGCCACTAGGGACGTGTCGTTCCTCGCCGTCCGGGATGCGTCGCTCCTCCATCTCCCTGCCGATGCGGGCTGCACCACGCAGATGAAGAGGTCTCTCTCGATGAGCTCCTCAAGGACCGTCCCAGGAGCCTGGAAACGGGAGAAATCCTGGCAGGAAGGGAAATGAGATTGGCCGGTTAAAAGGGGGTTTCAGTGTGACGGACACTTTGTCAAGTTGCTGCTGTGGACATGGGAAGGGCCAGGGAGCCTGGCGAATGGCTCGTTGTGGGACTGTCCAGCACCAAGCACAGCCTCTCCGCGCCCCCGGCCAGGCTCTCGCTGTCACTCGCGACGCCCTCGTCCAGGGCCAGCTTCACAGTCTGAAAGCACCAAGCACAGAAGGGCCAGTCCCAGTGGATGTCCGTGGAGCTCCATGGATTTATGCCAGTGGCAGAGCTGGCCCCCTGGGTGTCTGCAGAGCACCCAGCAGGAGACCCCGACTCTGATCGGGGCCCTTCAGAACAAGAGGGCGGTTGCCCCAGGTCAGAGCAAAGGTTCATCTAGCCCGGCCTTCCAGTGCCAGGCGCTTCGGAGGGAATGAACGGGACAAGTAACCAAGTGATTCATCCCTTCCTCCCCATTCCCAGCTTCTGACACGCAGCGGCCAGGGACACCATCCCTGCCTAACAGCCACTGAGGGACCTGTCCTCATGAATTTATGTAGCTCTTTCTTTGGACGCTATTACAGACCTGGCCTTCACAACACCCCCTGGCAAGGAGTTCCACAGGTTTACTGCGCTCTGTGTGAAGAAAAACTTCCTTTTGTTTGTTATAAACCTGCTACCCATTAATTTCATCTGGTGACCCCTAGCTCTTGTGTTATGAGAAGTAGTAAAAAAAATGGCCTTATTTATTTTCTCCACACTGGTCATGATTTTGTACCCTCCCTTACTCATCTTTTCCAAGTAGAAAATTCCCAGTCATATTAATCTCTCCTCATATGGCAGCCGTTCCAAACCCTTAATCACTTTTATTGCCCTTTTCTGAACCTTTTCCAATGCCAAGAGACCTGTTTTGAGATAAGGTGCCTACATGCAGTACAGGAGGCACCTGACTTACAACGGCCCGAGATACGACCCCCGGGGCATCCGGAACCGATTGCATGGCAAGTTGGGGGCAGCCTGTATTCAAGACGTGGGCGCACCATAGGTTTATATAGAGGCAGCATGAAATTCTCGATCTTACTGTCTCTCCCTTTCCTAAGCCTTGTGTTCTACAACCACACAGACACCCTGAAGCATGGGATTTGCAGGAACATGGCAGCTTCCAGGATCGGGCCCACTAATTCCGTTTTTCCATACCAAAGCTTGAGGCCTCTTTGCTTTGTAGGACAGAGGCAGCGACAGTGCAGAAGAAGAGCAGGATGAGCAATGGGACAGCCATGGTGATAAGGAACTCCCAGCCCTTGGCTGCAAGAGAAAAGGCCAAGTCGTGGTTCTGTGCGGTGCGCGTGGTTTACAAAGACGACCAGCCTCTAGCAGGTGACTATTGTCCCCCAGTCCCAAACCTCAGTGTCCTCATTTGATATGAGCCTAGACAAGGGCAGGGACTTGGCCAGCAGCTCAGTGACCAAGCCAGGACGAGAACTCAGACTCTCTCCAGAGCAGGTCAAAAAGATTTGTTGCTCATAATGAAACCAAAATCATTCCGATCTAAGTTCTCCGGGGACAATTTACATTTTCAGGGGAAATTCACATACCGGCTGAAGCTCTAAAATCAGCTCAGGTCCCCAGAGTGCAGGACCAGAGAGGTCCGTCCTACACTTAAAGTTCTGGTCTGACAAGCCAAGTTATTTTTAGCTCCAATATTTCGGTTTACAGCCAAAATCTTTCAGGTGTCAGGCGTCCTGGCTTTTGATGAAAAATCGCACAAAAAGGAGACACGTTTTGCACGGAGGAGGCTGGTTTTGCCACACCCGATTCTCCTTCAAAACCCACTTGGGGTGAGAACATTCCCCCCAGCCCTGGTCCCTTCCCACTGCCCCCTCGCCCGCCCCTCTCCCTCCACTGGGCTGTACCTCTGGGCGTTAGGAGCATGCACAGTGGCCTGGAGAACTGGCTGTGTTTTAGCTGGATGGCTTGATAGGAGGCCCTGGCACTCAGGCAGTAGTTGCCACTCAGCGCCAGAGTGCTGATTGTGACGTTCTCCCACTTCATTCGGTCGTGGAACGGCACCTGCTGAGACACAACCAGGCAGAGGCTGGGAGACTCGTGGGGCCCTCTGGCCAGACTCTGGAAAGACCTTCATGATGTGTCTCCCCACAGCGTCCGGAGAGCTGTGATGGGCCATGTGCGGTCCATGGGGGCTCTGTGTGAGGCCCACGAGATATTTTGTTGCCGTGGCCCACATGCATGGTTGCCAGAGCCCCCTGGTTTACATCCGCGCAGGCGGCTTCCTACCGGTGCTACCAATGTGACGGGCAGGAAAAGCCAGGGCAGGCGAGGCACGGTGCGTGCGGATTGCACACAGCACTGAGAGCCGCGCGCTCCCCGCGCCCCCCCCCCCCAGCCAGTCACAGTGCTGCCACGGTGCCACGGGCACCACACAGACGCTAGGTGCGCACGCAGAGCGAGCAAAGCCACCTGTGCCGGGAGTCTGGCTTGGATCCCACAGTCTTGCCGCCGCTGAGACGGGGGCCACTCACTAGCCAGCTTGCCCCGCACTGGTGTAGAGGAGACATTAGACGAGACCCACCCATCGCCCACAGACACTTGGCCTGGCGCTGGGATTGCTCTCGTGACTATTTCGGTCCTTGAGGCCTTGCTGCATGGGCGGTTCACTTGCACACAGCTGGTGCACGTGAGGCCCCACGCTCCTTATCAGCTTGTCTCACCGTGGGGACTTTCTACGGACCCCCCGGGGGGTCGCTTCACTGCAGGACTCTGCATCCTGGCACTTCTGTCTGTGCTGGGGATGTGAGTGACTAGTCGACTAGCCAATGAGCAAATGCTTATCGGATAGTCAACAGGCCAGGTGACTGGTCACTTCCCCGGTCGACTAGTCACTTCCACCTACCTTGCTGCCTTTATCAGAAAGAGGCAGCGGGGGAAGAGGGTGCTTCAAAGCGGCAGTGCTGTATGGAGCCAGGGGCCAGACCCTGGGCTCCACATGGTGCTGCCACTTTGAAACACCATGTGTAGCCCAGCTGGCCCCATGCTCCCCGTGGTGTTTCAAAGCGGCAGTGCTGTATGGAGCCCAGGGTCAGCTGGGGAGACCCCAGCAACAGCTGCCACACATCGAAGGCAGAGGCACTTTTCTCGACGAATCAAATAGTCAATGCAAATTTAACATCCCTGCCCCGGGCATTGTGGGACAGGCCGGGAAAGGGACTGGAGTCCTGGGTCTGGGGTCAAACAACCATTCCCAGTTCCCAGAACCCAGCTCCAACCCTCTCCCCTCCCCAGGACGCTGGGGACAGTGGGACCAAGATCCAAGCGTTGCCTCTCCAGCACGTGGCTACGCCTAGTGCGGTGGAGCCAGGCCTGGGACTGACCTTGTCTCCAGTTCCAGCTTTCCAGAAGTCCAGGTCGTACTTCAGCCCGATAAAAACGCTCTTGACGCAGGAGGCCAGGGGGAAAGTAGCGCTCACGTTGATTGTCGTTTCTGCCACGCTCACTGCCAGCGCCGGCGGAGCCAGGTGCACTGTATTCGCGAGCGACATGTTAGAGCAGCACTTTCCCATATGCCACCAAAAGCCAGCCCCCGACACAGCCCTCTGGGCACGCTGGACTTGCCAAGCTTGGCTCCTTCTCAGGGGGACACACGGAGGCCAAGGCCAGAGTTTTAAGGCTCTGGTCTGGGGATAGCCCCTTGGTCTGCAGCAGCCACTCTCGCAGTGAGCAGGTTGGATAAGGAAGGACAGAGCTGCCTAGCAGAGACTCCCCACTGGGCGCTCGCCTTCCCTCCTCAGTCTGCATAGGGAACACGGGGGTTGGTCTCTCCAGGTTTTCGTGCTGTGCCCATCACCGTCACACCTGGGCTCCTTACGGAATCCAGCGAGCGGGAGGGAGAGCAAAGCGGAACTCCCTATCCCCCCAGGGGCGCGGGAGCAACACCCAAACGTTCTCTCTGCAAAGACCTTCCAGCCGTGGCACAGACAAGCAGCAACGTACCATCCAAATGATATTCCAAGGAGTTCGACTCCACCCAGGGGGACTGGCGCCCTGCCGCCAGGGCCTTGACGCGGGTGCTGAATTTATTGTACGGGTCTGGCCCACACGTCAGGTTGCAGGTGACGTGGGAAATATTTTTGCAGTGCCGGACCTGTTTCCAGTTGCTTTGGTGATACAGGCTGAAAGAAGAAACAAAGACCAACCTGGGGTAGAACAGGCGGCGCTTTGCACATCTAGTGCCAAACAGGTCCGTGGGCTTCCCGCTGACACTCCCCCGGTTGCCTGCTCCCAGAGATTGGCTCTGGCAAGGGGACATTGTGTAGCCAAATTCGAATGATTTAAATGGCCCCCAAGATTTACACTCTGCTTTGGGGCTAAAGAATCAATGGAAGGGTTGCCCAGTGGTGAGGGTGTGAGCCTGGAACTCAGGCAACATGGGTCTAACTCCTGTTCTGCCACAGACTTGCTGTGTGGCCTTGGGAAAGTCACCTCGTGTTGGGAGGGTGTAGGTAACCCGACAGTGAAAAGGGGGCTGTACGGGGAAAGCACCAGGGAAATTCTCCCGCAGCAGGGAAGTTACTGCAGCTTTTCCCCATGGCTTCCTCCCTGCCAGAGCCTCTGCCCGCTCTGGCCACAGGGAGATCGCAGGACGCCACATCGCTGGACTCAGCTGTGTGAAAGACGTGGGAGGCCCAGCTCGGACCCGCAGAGCCCTGTAGGACGCGCACCCCGAGATTCTGGAGCGTCTCTGCACTCTGGGGCTAAGCAGGGCTCCTCCGCCTACACCGCTACTGACGCCTGTGCTGGGGGCCGGGCCGGTTCTGTACTCGACACGGTCCCATCAATGTAGACACATCTCTGGGTCTGTGCCTCAGTTCCCTACCCGGTAGGACGAGGCCAACAGCAGTGCCTGTCCCAAGGAGCAGGGCATCAGACAGTACAGCAGCGGGGCCATGCAAGTACTTGGGGCAGCAGGATGAGACTCAGTCTCTTCCCTAAAATGCCAAGATTTTCCAAAAGTGTCTCTCAGATCGGGCCCCTGGAAGGGGTCTCACCCCGGGGTCTTCAGTTTACTTCTGGAACTCCTCGCCTGTGCTCCCTAGGCCCGCTCGGCGGCCAGTGGAAAGCTTCCGACTGGCACCCCCCAGGCTGCGCCCCAGGGTCGGCAGGTCCCTCCGCCGTGGGCTGGGCAAAGGAGCACGCGCCTGCTGGAGGGGAGCCCCCGGCTGAGGGCAGGGGGGTGGAGGGCCAGAGGGAGGGAGGCTGGAAGCAGAGCGCTCGAAGGAGAGAGATTGCACTTGGCGGATGAGAACAGGATTCTCCACTCCCCTGCTCCAGCCTCACCCCACTGGGGACTGGCAGCAGGTGGGTGGAGGGTGAGCCGGAGTGGGGGAGGTGAGAGAGGGAGGCAGAGTGGGAAGGGGAGATGAAGGAGCTGGAATCGGGGGCACTCGGCTCAGCGGGGGAGAAGGGGGTTTAGCAGCCTGGCTGTGTGGGGCGCAGGGGGAGGCCCACAGAGCAAACGGCCCTGCTGGCTTTGAACCACACTCCAAGCTCCCTCAGGCTCTGCCAAGGCTGCCCCAGAGCGGAGCAGTTTGTGGGCTGCTCTGTCCGGCGTGAAAAGCTGCTCACAGACCCGCCACACACAGGTCCCCGCGACCCACCGCCCTGGGGCACAAGCCCCCGGCGCTCTCGTCACCGTCCCTCGCGGACACCCACGTTTGGTAGCGCACAGAGTACAGCACGTCCGGCGGGGACCCCTCCCCAGGGAGCCACGTCACAGCCACGCCAAAGTCCTTCGACAGCAGCTTCACGTTGCGCGGGGGGGGCAGCGGCACGCCGGGCTGTCCCAGAGCCACGGAGCCTGGGAAGGCAGGAAACAGGAAAGAAAAGCTGTTGGAACGCTGTCGCCTCCGTACTGAGAACAGCACATGGGTGGAATGGCCCCGCAAGGATTGAACTCCCCACCCTGGGTTTAGCAGGCCAATGCTCAAAACACTGGCTGGAAGAGACCTCAGGGGGCCATGAAGCTCAGCCCCCTGCCCTTCGAGTTCATAGAATCCTAGGGCTGGAAGAGACCTCAGGAGTCATCGAGTCCAGCCCCCTGCCCAAGGCAGGACCAACCCAACTCAATCAACCCGGCCAGGGCTTTGTCAAGCTGAGAGTTAGAAACCTCTAGGGATGGAGATTCCACCCCCTCCCTAGGGAACCCAGCCCAGTGCTTCCCCACCCTCCCAGGGAAATAGTTTTTCCTAATATCAACCTAGACCTCCCCCACTGTAACTCCCCCATTGCTCCTTGTTCTGCCATCTGTCACCACTGAGACCAGCCTCTCTCCAGCCTCTTTGGAACCTCCCCTCAGCAAGTTGAAGGCTGCTATCAAATCCCCCCTCACTCTTCGCTTCTGCAGACTAAACAGACCCAAGTCCCTCAGCCTCTCCTCGTAGGTCATATGCTCCAGCCCCTAATCATTTTGGTTGCCCTCCGCTGGACCCTCTCCAATGCGTCCACATCCTTTCTGTAGTGGGGGGCCCAGAACTGGACACAATGCTCCAGATGTGGCCTCACCAGAGCCGAATAAAGGGGAATAATGACATCTCTGGATCTGCTGGCAACGCTCCTCCTAATGCCTCTAATACGGCATTCGCCTTCTTGGCTACAAGGGCGCCCCGTTGACTCATGTCCAGCTTCTCAGCCACTGGAATTCCCAGCTCCTTTGCAGTTCTAGGATTTTTCTCTCTGATCTACTGCTCTGATGGGCTTGATTCACCTTGTGCAAGGCTGTGTGTGTGTGTTTGTGTGATTGTGCACGTGCACAGGGCACAGGATGTGTGTGTGTATATGTGTGATTGGGTGTGCGTGCACAGGGCAGCACAAGGTGTGTGTGTGTGTGTGTGCATGTGCGCGTGCACAGGGCAGCACAAGGTGTGCGTGTGCACAGGGCAGCACAAGGCGTGGGGGTGTGCATGTGTGTGCGTGCACAGGGCAGCACAAGGTGTGTGTGCGCGTGTGTGATGTGTTGATTTGATTTTGCCCATTTTCCTGCCCCCTCAGGCTTTCTGTCAAGTGCAAGAGCCAGCTCAGGGTGCCAGAGTCCAGGCGAAATGCGGGTGCAGGCTGCAACACAAACCATCTCGGGGTTCAGGTTCAGCTCCGGAGAGAGGACTGGGTCACTTTTTAGTTCAGCCTGAGGCAGGCCCCGGCCCTGCCAGTACCACACACCAGGCCCCTGGCGCTTTCAGAACCACTTCCTGGCTATTCCTGCTCCTCCACCAATGTGCTTCTCGGTGGAAGTCCCATCGGAGCTGGGCTGTGATGTCGACTCCTGGCAGCTCTGCGTGAGCAAGCAACCAAACCCTGCAGCAGCTGGGACGAGCTGCCCGAGTACGATCCCGACCCACCCCCTGGCTACCTACCCGGGCAGAGCTGGCGTGGGGAGGCCTCCGGGAACAGGGAATCGCACCCCCCTTCCAAAAACAGGCACGTCGGAGAGAAAACCCCCTTCACTGGACTTTCACTCACCCCCAGACCCTCCTGTTCGCACTGCCAACCTGGCCCGCAGGCTTGAGTGCTTTGGCAAAGGCAAAGCCAAGAGCATTGGCTGTGCGCGGACGGGGCCCTTAGCACCGGAGAGAGCCATTCCTTACCTAGGAGCTGCTGGAAGGAGCAGAGAGCCACCAGCACTGCCCGGCTCCCTGCAGACATGCTGAAACTGCCACTTCCTGATTCCATGGAATCACTTTCATTAGTCAGTTTCCTGTAATCCGTGGGTTGCAGGTCAGCCCCAGGGGCATACGCCGGCTACGCCCTGCAAGAGACGCCGCCTCCCACACCAGCTGCAGTCGCCAGGCTGGGCTGTCCTTTGGACACTGACACCGACACCTGCGTGTGGGCACGGAGCTCCCTGCAGAATCAATAAATAGTTCTGTGGTTTAATCATGACTGGGGTTACCTGCTACCGACTGGGGAGCCTTCCCAAACACTCGTCTTGCAAACAGCCCTGCCCTCTGGTGTCGGGAGCATTGCGGGGACCAGGCACTGTGACTTACTGAGTCGAACCAGGCAGCTGAATAAAAGAGCCCATGGCCAGAAAGGGTTAACGCGCCCACTGGCGGGCCCGGGGTCGGGGAGATGCTGCATGGGAAGTGGGCAGTTCCGCTTGGCTGGAGCAGAACTTTGCCACCCAAACTTACATTGTTGGCAGGTGCTGGCCCAAGTCCTGTGTTTCTGTTGGTGGTGCACATTCATACATACCTCTGTGCACATAAAAATTATTCCACACTTGGATGGAAATATGAGAGGGAACATTGTTTAGCAGTACTGCCAGCTAGGCCACAAACTCCTCTCACATAAAGAATCAAAACGCTCCCACATGCAGTAAATTCTTAGCCTACATCAGGGCAACTCAACTTCTGAAGCCCCGGGGGCCACAACTTAAGTGTGGTTGCATATACATGTAAATAAATATGCAAATATATGCAAATAGCTTCAGTCACACAATATCCCAGCGCTCCCAGCACTCCTCCCTGGGGGCTAGAAACACCGACTCCCTGAACCCGTCTGTTCCAGCCAGCCCGTCCGCTCATGGGTGGAGCATGTTCCCTGTGGGGGCCGTGTTCAAAGGACCCCACCTGGGGGCCCGTGTTGAGTAGCCCTGGCCCACATGCGCCTCCCAGATCTAAGGGGAAGCGAATCTGGTTCTGCACCTGGGTCTAGGTCTCCCACACAAAGGCCGTTGTGAGGTGGACACACACTCACTTCACGCGGACTGGGGATGGCTGTCAGAGGGTAACAACCTTCAGCTGCTACCAGTGTCCGGCCTGCACCATTCTCCCAAGTCCAGACCTGGTTCTTCTAACCCTGCAGCTCTCTAGTCGCTATCTGATGTGAATATCAGATATTCGGGAACGGCGCTATTGCCATTAGCAGTCGTCTGAACCCTCCCCTCCTCCGGTGCTTGATCCTGGTCTCCCGGTGCCCGAACGTGGGACCGTGCAGTCCTGCGGTGATGTCCCCCCCATGCCCCGGGGAGCTCTGAGCCGCGGCAGCGCCGTGCGCAGCAGCATCCCTGCCCTGGGACGCGTTTGCCTTTCTAAAATCTCCTTTCCTGGAAGGAAACCTGCCCCACGAGTTCATTTCCATGGGAAACCCCAGACGTAAAACACCCTCAGCCCCTGGAGACGGCAGAGATCCCACCGCTGGCTCGTGCCCCTCTCAGTACGGGGACCATATTGCCCCCCCCCCCCTAGCCCCCCCCCCCACCTGGCACAGGAAGTCCCAGCCAGGGAAGGTATTTCTGGGGTCAAGATGAACACATGAGCAGAAGTACAGGGTGTCATGTGACCCCTCTCAGGCCTCCTTCCACCATCCTCTACCTTTAGGGATGGATTTGGGCCCCATACACACCCCCATGCAACTACACTGCAATTGCAGTAACCCAGGGTCCCAGGACAGTGCAGGGCTACGGGTCTACCCTCGATTCAAGATGAGATCCAGGATCTAAGATCTGTTACTTTGCAGTGTAGATGCAGCCCCATTTGACTCAGAGCCTGGGAATCATCCAGAACTATCCCACAATTTCATGGGACAACTTCCATAGTCCACTTAGTGGATGTTGCCTACTGGTTCCGGTTAACTGGTAAAGAGAGAGGGCTGGAGCAGCTCCCCATCTACTTCAGGAAGGGGGCTGCTCCAGGATCACAGAGGGCCTGCTGCAGACAGGGTGCACTCATCCAGATCAGCCCGTCTCTGGGGAACTGCTTCATAATTGCTTGTCATGGTTCAGTATTGTCCTTGTGGCTTGTGGAAATGGAGGACTCTTGATAATTTTGCAGTAATTTCACCAAATGCAGTTGCCGTCCATCTCATTGGGATGTAAAACCCCAGTCATCAGTTACCGGTTACTGTGAGGTCCTCACTCTGCGTTTGTAAGCAACAAGCAGCCAGAGGCAGTTTTATTACGAGCTGTAGCAAGGGAAAAACTGGTTCGGACGGGGGGGAAGCCCCCTCCCTCCGAGGCAGATCTTCGAATAGGAGCAATTCTGAAGCAGTTTCTATACTGTCTATTAGATATAATAACAATAACAATTCGTCTCCTTCCCATTCCAAACACCAATGGCTAACAGTTATTTAGTTCCAGCCAGATGCTCCTTATCTCAAGGTCCCTGCCAGAGTCAGCGTTCGATCCTTATCTCTGTATAGAGGTGAGAGGCAAAGGCAGCGTCTAATTACAGATCTCGCGTTGTCAGGCCACAGACTTAGCCTGACTCTTGCTCTCTTGTTAACAAGACCAAGATAGCTGCTCACAAATTCCCTTATTTCCTTTTCCTGCCTCCAAACTCCCCCCTTTTGTGCTTACAGCACAACTATCTTTCTAAACCTTTATTTTCATTAAACATTACATAACTAGTACAAACATAAAAGCTATTTCTATTACTACATCTTTTACAACAACAATCAAATATGAAACCTTTAATAAGCAAAAGCAATATAATCATTACTATCCCCAATATAATTCTATGATGGGGCTGTTCTATAATTTTAGTAACATAACACATCATATCATAATTAGTAACCAAATTTGGGAGGGCAGGTACATGCTGATGGTACCTGTCCATAATCACGGAGTCCAGATGAAAGGGAGAAACCCAAACCACTCCCACAAGTTTCTCCTTGGCAATATACAATACTTCGCTTCTTTCACCACAGTCAGTTCTTAACGTCCTTTTGTAGTCAGGAATCTTTGGGCTTTGGCGGTGTCAGAGGAGCGGACTTTTCCTCTTTTTTTTCTTGAAACAGTCGTGGTTCAGCATCATGCAGGGGAGAGGTTACCAGCACATCACCCTGTAATATTTTGGTTCTTCTGGTGTCCAGCAGGTGGGAAAGCAGGACCAGAAGAGAGAGGCTTATCAGCAATTGGGGTAGGATCATTTCGAGATGGAGGGATCTTTTTGCAGCGAGAAGCATTGGCCAACAATCAGTTCTTGGCACTTCACAGCGGTGTTGGTGGCTAGCAAAACTTGGTAAAGGTCTTTCTAGAGCGGTCTTTCGCTGATGGACATATGAGTCTCTATTCTCTGAGCTAAAAGCCAGCTAGCTCCTTTGGAACCAAGGTTATTTCCTAGGAATAAAGCAAATTGTAAAAACAATCCCGTGCGGTTGTTTGGTACCAGCCTTATCAAAGTGAGGCCCTTTGGAATGTGGTTGCCAGGGGAACCAGGGTCACAGTAACTGTTGAACTGTTTTACTTCCCAAGCTGGCCTAATACTTTCAGGTTTGAGTTTGTCAGTTCTCAGCAAGATACCATGGATTGCCTCAGTTTACTCCTATAGTTCCTTTCTCTTGACTTTGGGGTTCTCCTTAACCCACCAGGTTAAATACAATTTAAGGGGTTTTAATTTACTCTGGAAGTACGAGTACAGCACCAGCACTGTTATAAATGTTATAATCGAAACTTCCCACATAATTTGACAAACACTATTCAACTCCATCTTTAAGATATTTCATCGCCTTACTGGCGCTGCCCATGATTATAGGTTTGACCTCTACTGCCTGGTTGAGTGCTGCAGAGGTAGGTGTTTGGCATGGTCCACGGTGTCTCCCTATCTGTGTACCTCAGACGGCCAGCCCCGATATATCTTTGGGCATTGGCCACCAATTCCTCGATCTTCGCCTACAGGGCCAGTAAACCCTCCTCTAGGTACTTACTTCCGCCGTGCCACTCAGAATCTCATGTTAGGCGAGGGGCTGTTATGCACACAGACGGATATGTAGAGGGGCAGGATGGAGTGATCTGTCTGGGTAGTCAAACACCAGTAGGTACCGTTTATTTGGACCAGCTTGATGTTTTTGTTTCTCTGAGACAACCACATCAAACCTAGGCAGATTCGTCATGATGTTAAATGGGCAGGTACATAAAATTTCCTTATCAAAGTGGGTGCAACAATCCCTGGGTATAGGGAGGCTCCCACACCTTCAGAATAAGCAATGCCTTCTATTCTATCTATATGCCCTTGCTTTGGTACAAGCAGGGAGGTTACCATTCTGATCTGATCTGAGTGAGGAATCCCCAGAGGGGCCAAAAACAAACTGTTATACTATGCCCTGTCCAGGTGGGCCTTTGGGTCCTCGTGTATTCTCTTCTTCCCCACTCCCATTGGTAGGCACGGGGGAGATGGGGACTCACCACCATAAGGGCTGGGTGGTCAAAGCTATACTATTCTTCAATACTGGCCTTCTAATACCTTTAATTTTGTTCCATTAATTAACAATCCAATTAATCTCTGGTCCAAATAGCTGGTTAGGTTTAGTGAAATGGACACAGAGCTGGACAGATCCTTCAAACTATTCAGGATCAATCGGTTGGCTTGGCTGGTGTCTAGGCCTTTACGGGCACTGGATATTACTGCATCTACCAGCCTGGATTCTGGGCTATGACATAAGTGCTGCTGACAGAGTTTCCAGGCCCAAACCAATCTGCGATGGTATCTGCTAAGCCCCTTCGTTGCCTAATCAGGCACTTGCCAATTTGATTAGCCAGTCTAGCACACAGCTGGTCTATACCAGTGTGGAACATCACCAGGGCTGCTGACAGAGTTTCCAGGCCCAAACCAATCTGCGATGGTATCTGCTAAGCCCCTTCGTTGCCTAATCAGGCACTTGCCAATTTGATTAGCCAGTCTAGCACACAGCTGGTCTATACCAGTGTGGAACATCACCA